GGTGGAGGTTGTAGTGAGCCGAGATCGCGCCACTGCATTCCAGTCTGGGTGACAGAGTAAGACCCTGTCTCAAAAAAAGAAAAAGAAAAAAAAAAGGACTAGAATAGAATATAAATCAACAATATTTCCTCCAGTGAAGGCTCCTTGGAGGAATGGCTGATTCCAGATCGGAGATAGGAACTATTCATGGTGAGTCATATTTTGTGCCGGAAAGTAAAGAAGTGACCAAAACCAATGGATCCTATCAAAAGGACACAGGAGTCAACATGAAAGACTTCCTGTGGCCAAAGATGAGAACATTTGAGGATCCAAAAGAATAATGATGCAACTCATTGAAATGCATTGAATAGGCCAGGCACAGTGGCTCACACCTATAATTCCAGCACTTTTGGAAGGCCAAGGTGTGCAGATCACTTGAGATCAGGAGTTCAAGACCAGTCTGGCCAACATGGCGAAACCCCATCTCTACTAAAAATATAAAAATTAGCCGGGCGTCGGGGCAGGCGCCTGTAATCCCAGCTACTCAGGAGGCCGAGGCACGAGAATTGCTTGAACCTGGGAGATGGAGGTTTCAGTGAACCAAGATCATGCCACTGCACTCCAGCCTGGCCGACAGAGTGAGACTCAGTATCAAAACAAAAACAAACAAAAAATGCATTGAATATATCAAAATTTATAGGTTCATATTGATCCCATCCCCCGCTTCCCCACACACAAATTCTCGTTGGGCCACCATTCAAAGTATTTAGTGAACAAATTCCCTGTTCTGAAATTGAAAGAAAAGAATTAGCATTCATTCATTCTGCCCTTCTTGTAAAAGATGTATTTCAGAGTAACAAGGCAGCACTAATTGATGAAAGAGAATTCTCCTTTACAAAATCATTTTAGCTAATAAATAGAGAAGATATTAATAGGATTAGAAAAAGATTATCGCTTTACAACCCCTAATGGAATTTTGATTCAGATAGTGATCAATAAATAAAATCATTAGATTAAAGATTGATGAGAACCCTTACAATAGCGGAATGAGGCTGTCATCACCTGAACCCACCCAAAGTAGAACAACTAGACATGATGTGATAGGAAGCACTGTGCCGCCTGTGAATTGTTCCTGCCCCCACCCCTACTACAAAGCTAATCTTGACTGAAATCAAGCATCTAGCATTAACTTCCATTCAGAGAAATGTGGGAGACAGAGGAACATGCTACAGAGCAAATGACACAGTGTCAGCAATAGATCAGCAGCACAAGGGGAAGGACAAGAACCCGCCACAGGTAAGAGGAGATTTAACAGACTTAACACAGATGTAGTGTATGAACTTTGTTGGGATTCTGACTTAAGCAAGCCAACTTAAAAAAAATTTTTTGAGGCCGGGCACAGTGGCTCACACCTGTAACCCTAGCACTTTGGGAGGCCAAAGCAGGCAGATCACTTGAGCTCAGGAGTTCAAGACTAGCCTGGTCAACATGGCGAAACCCTGTCTCTACTAAAAACAGAAAAATTAGCTAGGTGTGGTGGCGCATGCCTGTAACCCCAAATACTCAGGAGGCTGAGACAGGAGAAGTGCTTGAACCCGGGAGGCAGTGAGCCAAGTTGCAGTAAGCCGAGGTCACGCCACTGCACTCCCGCCTGGGTGACCAAGTGAGACCCTGTCTCAAAAAAGTAAAAATAAAATAAAATGAAAAAATCATTTTTGAGACAATTGGGGAAATTATAGTGGCTATCAGGTAAGAAGAGTTGCTGCTGCCAGTAAATTGATGATGTGGAGGTTATGAAAGAAAGTGATCATATTTTTTGGAGGTGTATACTGAAGTATGTAGGAGTGAAATGACATGCAGACTGGTGTTTGCTTGAAAACACTCCCCCGAAGAAGAGAAGGATAGCTGAAGGAAACATGGCAAACTCTTGATGCTTGTTGGATCTGAGTGGTGAATAGATGGGTGTTCCAACCTCTCTACTCTAGAATATGTATGAAATTTTCACCCAGAATATTTTCAGAAATCTCCTATCTGGCCTAAGGCAAAAACATAATTGTGGAGCAGCCTAAATATTCCTCTCTGCAATGAGTATTTATTAAGCAACTGTGTGCTAGGCAAGGAGAGACTGTGCCATGGCAAGATCTAAGCTTTGCCGTCAGAAGCCTTGATTTGAGCCAATTCACTGTTGCCATCAGTTTGATCCTGGGCAAGTTGCTATTTCTCTTTGAACTTTCATTTCCCTGTCTGTGTATGATCTGCTCCACAAACTGGTGGAGACAGTAATATCTCTTCGCTTTCTAAACTGCTTACTCAACTCCCACAGGCCTTACTAGCAAGAAGTCTAGCATCCCCTGTTGGAGGACCTTCCCCCTATCTTCTTCACTGTCTGGGAATCTGGGTCTCCTCAGCCCACAGGTAGGCAGGCCTGGCCGTGGTACCAGAAGTGCCCTCCCTCTCATGGCCACACAGTGTCAACTTTGGAGCTTTGTCCTGCCTAGCTACTCTGTCACGAGACAGCTTTGCTGATTCCCAGCATGGCCTTGGGTGAGGGGTGAGGGGATGGCTGGAACCCCAGAATTAAATCTCTCTTAGTTCACACTCTCTTTCTCTGCAATGACTCATAAAGGGACAGGACATCATGACTGATCCTCAGCCTCATAAATTGCAGGACAAGCCCTTTCTATCTGACAAAATACTAACCCCATTATGTGGCAGGTGCTGCCTTAGGGGCTTGAGATACATCCATGGGCAAAAAGGACCCCTACTCCCCTCAAGGAGCTGGGGAGTGGGGATCTGCCCCAAACCCGAGCCCAGGCCACCAGCAAAGTCTTCCCCTCTCCCCTTGGTGAGTATTGCTTTGGAAGGTAGGGGTGCTCTCAACCACATGGTGTGAACCTAACCTACTTCTCCCCAAGCATCACCAGTGAGCATGTTAGATGAGCGATGGGTGGTGGGGCCAGTGCGGGGGTGCTGGGTGTTACTAGGCTACACACACACACACAACCCCACACACCCTTTATGTAGTAAAATAGGGCTTACTACTCTATCCTTGTATAACTTAGTGCAGACTGAGAAACCTTTATATCTGTCACCTCTTAAAATGAAGACTCTTACCCATCTTACAGAATCATTATGAGGATTAAATCAGATTTCTTCACTGGGCTGTGCTCATAAAGGTTGTGTTTTGCTCACTGCTCTACTTTTTTTTTTCACTCTATCCTGTGAAATATATTCTCAGTCCCTAAAACAGTCCCTGAGGCATAGTAGTGTCCAGTATGTACGCGCGCGCACACACACACACACACACACACACACTCACATGCACACACAGTGATGGAATGAGCCTGCGAAGAGGGTCGTCTCAGGAAACATCAGCTCTGCAGATTCTCAGTCGGTCTAGGGCGGGTCTGAGACTGCATTTTCACTGGCTCCTGAGGGTGGCTCCTGTCCAGGAGGACGCTGAAAGTGATGAGGCTGAGAGGTGCATGTTGAGTGGCAGGAGAGTGGAACCATTAGGCACTTGGTGTCTGGAGTCTGTCAGATAACGTCCCCACCATTCTTACCTTTGTGGCCTTGGGTGGGTTACATAACCCCAGTGAAACTTAATTTCCTCACCTCTAATATGGTAATAACCACTAGGACTGCCTGGTGAATAGTATTGACCCAATCAGCTTGATATTTTAGCTCTCTGTCCAGTAAAATAAAAACCCACACACTGGCCACTTTTGTATTGCCTTCAGAATGCCATAGCCCTCTGAAGTAAAATCACTGGATAGAAACAAAGATCCTTGCTTTAAGAGTTTTAACCTTCACATTTGCCCTGTATAGCTCTGATTTTGTTTTTTTGTTTTTTACTATTTTACAATAATGTTTTCATGCTTTAGTTGGATAAAAACAAATATATATATTATATATATGTGTATATATATAATATATATATGTGTGTGTGTATATATATATATATAATTACAGTAGAAAATTAAGCCTGACCATTGCTTGAAGTCTTTGTGGAGGGCATCTGGCACAACTCGATAAAGCCCGTGGCCCCCTCAAAGCGTTAACTGAGCATCAAGTGCTGAGTGTGCTGCTGGGCGCAATGCCCAGCACAGTGAGAGCTTGGGGACTGCTGCATATTCATGTGTGTGCCTCTTCCTCTTGTTCACTGCTGTTTCTGGCACCCCATGCTGTGCTTACAATATGGTAGGAGCTTAATAAATATTTGATGAATATACAAATGATTAGTTATTTTAGCCTCAGACGAACACTCACAGGTGGTCAGGTGGAGGAGTGAGGGCTGGTGGAGGAGTGAGGCTTTGACCAGCTGTAGTTGGCCTCAGGAGCAGAGAGACCCAGGGCGGCGGGGGGCCCGCAGCACTCAGAGTAGATGCCTTCAGTTACCAAATCAAACCCTAGACAAATGCTGAGGGAGTGAGTTAAGCCAAGGCACAGAGCAAGGGTGTTGTCATAGAAACACATTCAGGTCTTTTACATAGTGTTCTGTGATGGTGCTCATTGGGGGTTCCAGAGCAAATAAAAGGATGAACTTCATGGTACTTGCCCAAAGAGAGGATACGCCGAGCACTGTGCTTAGCAGAGCACTAGGCAGGAGTGGGGAGGAAGGAAAGGCCTTTGGCTTATTCCCTGACATCTCAGCAGTTGTAAAGGGCTGCTGCGGGCAGCTCCTCTGACCAGGGTTTGCCCCAGGAAAATAGTAGAAGTCAACATGCCCTGGGGAAGTTCTCTCCTGTATCCGCCTGATGACGACTGCAAAGGAGGGAGGGAGGACCCCGACATTCCATTTCTCCTCGTTTTTCAGTTCTGGTTGGGATTTCATAAAGTCCAAGGATATTCCTGGAGTGGGAAAAAGAGCTGCAGGATTGGTGCGGGGAGCTGACTGATGCTGATATTACAAATCCATGATGTGACTAAAAGTCGTGTGAAAAGATCGATCATCAAGAAGTTGCAGAAGGAAAAGTCTCCAGCCCAGCTAAATATTCCCATCCCACTTTCTCTCTCTTCAGGTGACCTTGTACAAGGACTCTGACATGGAGGACTTTGGGTTCAGTGTAGCAGATGGCTTGCTGGAGAAAGGAGTGTATGTCAAAAATATTCGCCCAGCTGGGCCAGGAGATCTTGGTGGCTTAAAGCCATATGACAGGCTCTTACAGGTAAGACCTCACGTGGAATTTTAATTCCTTGCAAGTAATTTGTCACTAGGAGCTTCCTCTACATCCTCCTGCATATTTGGGGCCCTTTGCTCTTTTCCCTTTCAGCCTTTGTCATCAAGATTATGGAATCAGTAGAAGCAAACAGCTGAATAAAGAATTTTCAGCACTGGTAAATTCTAACCCAGCCCCCAAAGTTCTGTGGTTTCTTATCAGTTTTTTTCAGCACTGAGCTCAGAGCCATCTTTCCCAGTCTCACGCTCATTTCTCAGACTCCACCCAACCACTGGTCACCTCCCACCATCGCACAGTAGTCCCATAAATATGACATAGTTATCCGACTCCAGGCACCCAGTCTAGTCCTTCCTACCACTCGTCTTCTACGTGACCTACAAGGCCTCAGGGATTTGGCCTCTCCTTACCTTGCCAGCATCTTGTCTTACCTCTTCATTCATTCATTCATTCATTCATTTATGAGACAGAGTCTCGCTCTGTCACTGGAGTGGAGTGGCGTGATCTCAGTTCACTGCAACCGCCACTTCCCAGGTTCAAGACATCCTCCTGCCTCAGCCTCCCAAGTAGCTGGGATTACAGGTGCCTTCCACCACACCCAGCAAGAATGCAATTTGCTAACTAATTGGAGGGTTGATGACAGACCTTTCGAAGTTGATGGAAAGTTACAATCTTTTTTCCTTTTTTTTTTTTGAGACACAGAGTCTCACTCTGTCTCTCAGGCTGGAGTGCAGTGGCACGATCTCAACTCACTGCAACCTCCACCTCCTGCATTCAAGTGATTCTCCTGCCTCAGCCTCCCAAGTAGCTAGGATTACAGGTGCATGCCACCATGTATGGCTAATTTTTGTATTTTTAGTAGAGACCGTGTTTCACCAGGTTGGCCAGGCTGGTCTCGCACTCCTGACCTCAAGTGATCCACCCCCCTCGGCCTCCCAAAGTGCTGGGATTATAGATGTGAGCCACTGTGCCCAACCTCTTCATTTACTCTGTAGCTTCAGCTGGATTTGTTTCAGGAATGGTATATGCTGCCACCTCCTGGCCTTTGCACCTGCTGTGCCCTGAGCTTGTGGCACTTCTCTGCTAAACATGCACAGGTTCTTTCCCTGCTCCTTCCTTGACTTCAGGTCCCTGCTCACATGCTGCCACTTAAACCTCTCTGTTTAAAAGGGCCCTTCCTGCCTGTCCATTCTTCACAGTGCTTCATTGGTTCGCAGTACAGCCAGAGATGATGCTAGTTATTTGCTTATTCTGTGTTGCCCACTAGAATGTAACTCCATGAAGGTGGCGATTTTACTCTCCACTCTATTCTTAGTTCCAAGAACAATGCTGTCACATAAAAGTGCTCAGTACTGTGCAGCAGAATAGAAGTGCATTGGCTCTGAGCCTTATATATGCTTCCCTTTCTCTGAATGCTCTTCTAATCCCTAGGCCTTACCTACCTCACTCTGACTCAACTTTTTGGTCTCACATAGATCAGTGATTCCCATCCTTGATTGAAAAAATGGAATCACCTAGAGAATGTATCCCAATGTTCAGATCAAATGGCAGACCAATTAAACCAGTGACTTTAGGAGAGAGATACAGCATCGGTGTGTTTTTACACCTCCCCCAGTGATTCCAACGAGCAGCCAAATTGACAATCACTCGTTTAGAGGACTTCCCTTCAAAGCCCAACTTCACCAGACACCACCCAACCTCCTTTACCTCACGTCTGGACTAGGGGCCCCTCCTATACAGAATAGCAGCTTTTTCTTTTGGTAGAATTTACATTATTAAAACTGCCTGTTTGGAGGTTGCAGTGAGCTGAGATCATGCCACTGCACTCCAGCCTGGGCGCAGAGCGAGTCTCAAAAAAAAACAAAAACAAACAAACAAATGAAAACACCTTCCTGTTTCCTTGCATATACTCCCCAGCAGATTGTAAACTTTTTGAGAACAGGGATAATACCTTATTCTCTCATTTACCGTTATATAGTGTTTGATATCTCAGTATCTCTCACAATATCTGAAACCAAAAAGCTGAACCTTGCTTACTTAATATAGTAACATTGTGGTCAGGTAGAGTTTTATTTAGGAAAGCAGATTTCTGAGCTTATGTGCAGTTTTTGGGAAGGGCATTTTGCAGGAAAATGGAGCAGCTTGAAGTCAGTCTTAGCAGTGTACTCACCTGGAAACAGTCTGTCACCAAACAGCTAACTTTCAAAGCAGGAGGCTGCCACGGATTGGTTAGCTTTCAGAGATGTGTTCACTGAAGCATGTTGTCACTGATCAATTTGATAGTTCTGGAACAATTCTGGTGATGATTTTTACTATGGCAACAGAACAATTAGTCTTATCCTAGGAGTTTGGGGACACTTTGTTTTCCATAGACATGCTAATATTTGCTGAATGAATAACTATGGGTAAGTTACTTACCCCTCTATATGAGTGTCTTCCTAATCCATAAATTAGAGCTAGGCGTACTCTCATGGAAGCTGAGGCTGTAAAAGTAGACTACATTCAGATTATAAAGGACCTTGAATGTGATGCTAAAGCTCTTGAACTTTATGCTGAAGGCATATTAATTTCTTAAGCAGGATAATGATATAATTGGTAACACAGAAAGGCAAGACAATATTATTGTGGGTGTATCGGGGATGGGTTAGGGAAGGGAAGATCACAGGCAAGGAGACCAGGTAGGGGTAGGTAAGATAAGACACCTGTTTCAGAACTAATGAGTCTTTAATATTTTCAGCACATCGTGATAGAGCAGTCTGGGAAGCATTTGGTGGTTTGGATCTGTTGGTGAGGAGAGATGATAGAGCCAGAGTTAAAGATTTAGGATACTGAAGTGTGGGGTTTAGGACAAGTTGCCCTTGGTGGCTTTATAACAAAGAAGAGAAGAGAACCCAGGATGTATTCTAACAATAACAAAATGTATGTATGTATGTATTTATTTGAGACAGAGATTCTCTCTCGTCACCTAGGCTGGAGTGCAATGGCGTGATCTTGGCTCACTGCAACCTGTGCCTTCCAGGTTCAAGCAATTCTCCTTCCTCAGCCAGCTCCCGAGTAGCTGGGATTACAGGCACCCACCACAATGCCTGGCTAATTTTGTATTTTTAGTAGAGATGGAGTTTCACCATTTTGGGCAGGCTGGTCTCAAACTCCTGACCTCAGGGGATCTGCCCGCCTCAGCCTCCCAAAGTACTGGGATTATAGGCGTGAGCCACCGTGCCTGGCCACAATAACCAAATGTAAAGGACAGGAAGAAATAAAGGCAGGAAAGGACTGAAAGCAAGCAGTTAAAATGGTAAAAGGATCAAAACAAAGTGGGGTTGTAGAATCAAGGAAGGAGAGTTTTAAGGGTGAGGAGCTGTCAGGAGTGGCAAATGCTAAACACCAAGGAGGATGCGAACTCCAGAACATTCCTGGATTTGACAAGTGGGGTCATTTGCCAGAATGACCATGTGTCAGGGGACACCTGAAAAAACTGAGGAGAGAATGGGAGGTCAAGGAGTAGAACCGGCATGTGGGTGATTGTAAAAACTTTTGTTGGTGAAGAAGGAGAAATGGAAGATGGGTGCATGTATAAGCTGAAGAGGGAATAAGCTCATTTAAAAAAAAAAAAAAATTCTTATTCTTAGTAGAGACAGGGTCTCACTATGTTGCCCAGGCTGGTCTCAAACTCCTGGCATCAAGCGATCCTCCCATCTTGGTCTCCTCAAGTGCTGCAATGACAGGTGTGAGCCACTGCACCTAGTGGAGCTCACTTGTAAGAGAGGTAGTTCAGCATCGTGATTCAGAGCACAGGCTTTGAGATCAGCCAGTTGGCCTGGGATTACATCCTATGACCCTTAACAACTACTGATCTAAAGCAAAGCTCTTAACCTCTCTGTGCCTTGCTTTTCTCATCTGTAAATTAGGGATAATATTCAGGACTTGGAGCACCCCCACTGTGGGTGGGGCCACCTGCTTGGCATGAGGATAGGTAGGATGTGTATGTCTTCCTTGCCCTTGAGAGTCTTACGATTTACTGGTAGACAATGACAAGTGAGCCAGTAGCCATGTCACAGCATAGTCAGAGCAAGGATAGACCTCATGGTGCTCATTTTAGCACCTTCATGACTTCAAACAACTTGTTGCACCTGAAATGTTCCTCTGGGTTTTGGGAATTATGGTTACAATGATAATTCAAAATGGCTCTTCTTGACCTTTCAGGTGAACCATGTCCGAACCAGAGACTTTGACTGCTGCCTTGTTGTGCCCCTCATAGCAGAATCCGGGAATAAGCTGGACCTGGTTATTAGTAGAAACCCACTGGCTTCACAGAAGTCTGTAGAACAACAGAGTCTACCAGGAGATTGGAGTGAACAGAACAGTGCTTTTTTCCAGCAGCCTAGCCACGGTGGTAATTTGGAGACACGAGAACCCACTAATACATTATAGCAACGCTTTTTATAAAGCAGGACAAAAGACAATATCTACATGGTGCTAAAAATCCCTTTAAGATTTCTGTGACATTTGAAGCACAGATAATCACGTGGCATTAACTGCAAGCACAGGGGTCTTTTAAATCTCTCTCATGGCTCATGTTCACTTCCCTTTTCAAGTTGAAGAGGTTTCTTTTTTGGTGACCACTATGGTACATGGTGGGCAATGCCCTGCCAGGCCCAATGGTAGAGAAAAATAGGCCGTCCCCCCAACTCTACAATTAACATCAGAGGAAATTTTTTACAAGTTCATCTTACTATCACTTTTTAAAAAGAGAAACATCTGTTTGAAAATATTCTCTATGATGATTTCCTTAATTCACTTTGAAATCAGTTTCTTACTATGAAGTCATTAATGTAAGAACTTGACCAACAAGGCTTTTCTTCTCATAGGCTGGCTCTACTAGGGGAACTAGTGTTTGGTAAACTGCTGGGACTGCCACAATGGGAGGGGTACAAGTATAAAATTAAGTTATCTTAAAATGTTTCAGCAATGATGCACGTAGGAGACCATAATAGGTGGTGGTAAATGTTTTGCCCAAGTATAGGAATGATTTTAACTAAGATGTATGCTATTCCCTATGCAACAAATTATCAAACAGGATATGTCTTGTGACCTGTTTTTTTTTTTAAGGACACATTTTTAATAGCTGAAAATCTCTGATAATGAATTAGAGGGTGTAGTAAACACGAGAATTAGTTATATAATCTTATTTTTAAAATTCAAGACTAAGAACTTAAGAAAGAATGAAGAGTCTATTAAAATGAGGTTCATCTTAATGATAGGCAAACCAAACTCATACTGCTTGACATGTTTTGAAAACTGGTAATATTGAGGGTGTACAGCACATGTACTTAAAAATGACACTGGGCTATCTTTTGTTCTGAGCCATGCCACTTACCGAAATTGTAAATACATTTTTCACAAATGCATTGCCAATTATTACCATCCCTCAAAGCAATAAATTGTGACAGTTGCTTTAAATGTTTGTCAGCAACTGTTTTCATTTGTTCAGATATTTTGAATAGCTACGCTAATAACTGTTATTTGGTGAATATAAAAAACTAGATCTGTATATTGATGGTAGACTCTCCATATTGAAATAATTATTTTCCAAACGTTTTCATTTTGGTCAATAATTCAAACTACCACTTAGGCAAAGCATTCGAACACTGTGTCCTTTGTTTAAGGAAATAAAAATCACCTTTCTTTTTGTGCAAAAAAAAAATATTATTTCAATCACATTTCAGAACCGCCAGGGCAAGAAAGTGTAAAGCAGAATCATGTTAAGAAAAAAGAAAAAAATATCATGAGTCACTTAAATATGTATTTTTATTTGTAACAAACAAGTATTAAACTGTAAAGTATTTTTGTACAAATTTAATACTTTAATAGCATGGTATTTATCGTCTATGTATGGTTTTGGGGAATTCAAAATTGTTCAAATATTTGTATGGAAAAAATAAAACCCTCTACCAAATGGAATAAACCGTGATTTTAAAAAGCCAAATAAAGAGGACATGCATTATTGGTGTTTTGAATATATTTCAGTGTTCTAGCCTGAGTCCTACACAATTTGTTTTGTTTGTTTTGAGATGGATTTTCACTCTGTTGCCCAGGCTGGAGTGCAGTGGCACCATCTCAGCTCACTGCAACCCCTGCCTCCTGGGCTCAAGTGATTCTCCTACCTCAGCTTCCCAAGTAGCTGGGATTACAGGTGCCCACCACCACACCTGGCTAGTTTTTGTATTTTTAGTAGACATGGGGTTTCACCACATTGGCCAGGATGGTCTCAAACTCCTGACCTCAAGTGATCCACCTGCCTTGGCCTCCCAAAGTGTTGGGATTACAGGCGTGAGCCACCGCATCTGGCCACAATGTTTATTTTTGTATAATTTTCTAAAGGTGAAAGGTTTTCCTATCAACCCGAGAAGCACCACTAAAGAGTAGGAACCTGGGCATTGAAATTGAGTCCAGGTTTCATTTCAGGCTCCAGGCTCTTGTATGACATTTACTCACCATGAATCAGTGTCTCTACCTGAAACTGAAGGTCATGTCTGTACCACAGGATCATTCGGAAGATGAGGAGTGAAATATATGAGAATGGGCTAAAAACACACACAGAAATACCTCCAAAACCAATGGTACATTTACTGTAGGTGACAAGTATTGATCAAGTATCACAACATCCACCTCAGAGAAAATTACATGTATTCTATGAGATATATTTACATAAACTGTTAAAATGTACAAACTTTAATTATGCTACCTTTAAAAATTCACATTCATTTTTATACAGTTGCATTCAGTGTGCCCAGGTTACATTCTGAAAGGCAGAGTATTTTCTAGCACGAGAGTCTTATGACCCAACTGACAATCTATGATTGCAAAAATCTAAGCAACTGTTCAAATTTTTATTGCACTCGCCTCACTTCTGCATCAAGCGTGATGCTGAAGCCAACGAAATGTGTAGTTAGAAGAGGCTTTGTGAATAAATGCAAATGAGAAGCTATATTTCATGTGAAAGATATTTCAGTTGTAACCAAAACTAAAATGAATCAACAATAGAAAATAGCTGTTAAAAACAAAAAAGCTCTCATGATTTCAGGTAGCACTTTTCAAATATAGTGACCAGGCCAAAGGAGGAGCTAGGGTCAGCCAGTAAGTTCTGAGCACCCCGAGTCCTCTTAAAAAGGGCAGTGACAAACTATGAAATGAAAGGGTTTGGGGCTATGCCACCGGAAGACTGGCAGAAGAAACTGGAGATAAGTAGCCAGATGGGGCGGAAGAGACAAGGTCTGAAATATATGAGACTCAGGACTTACGAGCAGAGGTTCCAATGAGGTAGATTTCAGCTTAATATAAGGAAGTAATTTCCAACACTAGTGTTGCAAAGTGGTTTTCACCAAGCAGTAAAGACCTTTAGCATTGGAAATGTGTGTTCTACTGGTGACTGATGGGTGTTCAGCAAATAGTAAGCTGGGGTAGATGACCCTTGCAATTTTAACATGCTGGGATGAAACATTATTTGCTTCCAATTTACATTTTAAAAAGGATACTAGAAGTATCCTCTTTCACTCAAATATTTTTTTTTCATGACCGGTAATGTGCCGGCACCATAACAAGGTTTGAGGGAGGCACATCTCACACGTGTGTATGAACACCAATGCATCAGGCTTAGGAACTACAAAAGGATCTTAATGAAATCTGAGAGAATTTTGAATCAGGTCAGTTATTTGTATTTTAGCCAATAGTACATTTATAATATAAGAACTACTGCTTTGGAATATTCAGTTACATAGTATTAGTTTCATTGTGTTTTTATGGAAAAAAGGTATTTTCAAGTTCTTCTTGACAATGTGAAGCTTTACCTGAGTCCTATACCCTGAAATATAGCCAGAGTTAAAGAAATTTTATTTCTATAAGGTTGTAGTAACGCCCCTGCCCATCGCCTGCATGTTCCAGGAACTGGCTTATTATAAAGAACCATCCTTCCCCAGGTGACTTAGATAAGACTCACAGGTGTTCATCTCCCTTCCCCCGTTTACTTATAACAAAATCAGACACAGACTGCCCTGAAAATTACCATTCTTTGCTTCATAAATGATTAGCTGAATTGCTTGTACTCACTGATCTGGAGAAGATACTAAGCTTCCTTCCCCCAGGCTTTTGAACTTTGACCAACCCTCAATTTAGGCCAGCATACAACACCTCCTTAAGAGGCCCTCCTAAAAGTAATAGGACAAGAGTTAAAATTAATGAAATAGGCAGGGCGCGGTGGCTCAAGCCTGTAATCCCAGCACTTTGGGAGGTCGAGACAGGCGGATCACGAGGTCAGGAGATCGAGACCATCCTGGCTAACGCGGTGAAACCCCGTCTCTACTAAAAAAATACAAAAAACTACCGGGCGAGGTGGCGGGCGCCTGTAGTCCCAGCTACTCAAGAGGCTGAGGCAGGAGAATGGCGTAAACCCGGGAGGCGGAGCTTGCAGTGAGCTGAGATCCGGCCACTGCACTCCAGCCTGGGCGACAGAGCGAGATTCCGTCTCAAAAAAAAAAAAAAATTAATGAAATAGAGACTAGAAAGACAGTAAAGAAAATCAATGAAACCAAAAGTTGGTCCTTTAACAAGATTAAAATTCATAAACTTTTAGTTAACCAAGAGAAAAAGAGACTCAAATGACTAAAATCAGGAGTGAAACAGAGGCTTTACTATCAGCCTTACAGAAATTTAAAAAACCATAAAGGAATACTATGATAAACTGTATGTCAGAAAATTAAAAAACATAGATTAAATGAGCAAATTTCTAGAGAAAAACTGTCAAAACTGACTCAAGAAGAAACAGAAAAGCTAAATACACCTATAACAAGTAAAGAGATTCAATCAGTAGCTTTAAAACTTCACATACCAGGCTCAGTGGCTCACGCCTGTAATCCCAGCATTTTGGGAGGCCGAAGCAGCTGGATCACCTGAGGCTGGGATTCGAGACCAGCCTGACCAACACGAAGAAACCCTGTCTCTATTAAAATTAGCTGGGCGTGGTAGTGCATGCATGTAATCCCAGCTACTTGGGATACTGAGGCAGAAGAATCGCTTGAACCTGGGAGGTGGAGGTTGTGGTGAGCCGAGATCGTGCCATTGCACTCCAGCCTGGACAACAAGAGCGAAACTCTGTCTCAAAAAACAAAAACAAAACAAAAACTTCGCACAAAGAAAAGTCCAGGGCCAGATTAATTTAAAGAAGAATTAATACCAATTCTTCACAAACTCTTCCAAAATAGAAGACAAGGGGACACTTCACAACTCATTCTATGTGGTCACTATTACTCTGATACCAAAACCAAACAAAGTCATCACAAGAAAAATAAACTGTAGACTAATATCTGTCATGAATTTCGATGCAAAAGTCCCCAACAAAAAACCAGCAAGCCAAATCCAGCAGCACATAAAAGGATTGTACACTATGACCAAGTGAGATTTACTCCAGGGATGCGTGATTGATTTAACATCCAAAAATTACCACACTGCATCAATAAAGGACAAAACTACATGATCGTCTCAATACATAGAGAAAGGACTTGAGGAAATTCAATGTCCCTTCACAACAACAACCTAGGAATAAAGGAGAATTTCTTCATCTCAATAAAGGACTTAAAAGAAAGATCCACAGCAAACACAGTTAATGGTGGAAGATTTAATGCTTTGTCCCTAATATGATGAACAAGACAAGGATATTCATTCTTGCCACTTCTATTCAACAATATACTAGGGGCTCTAACCAGGGTATTTAGCAAAAAAATGAAATTAAAGGCCTACAGATTAAAAAGGAAGAACTAAAAGCATCTCTATTTGCAGATGATATGATCTCTTATACAGAAAATCCTAAGGAATCCACTAAAAACCTACTGTAACTAATAGTTCAGCAAGGTTGGAAGATACAAGATCAATATATAAAAATCAATTGCATTTCTATGTAGTAGCCGTAATGAACCAAAATAAATTAAAAAAATAGTTCCATTTACAACAGGAAAAAAAAATTAAATATTTTGAAATAAATTTAACAAAAAGCATTGTAAATTTAATAAAAAAATACAAAACTTATACTCTGAAAACTACAAAGAATTAAAGAAGAACCAAGCATGGTGGCTCACACCTGTAATCCCAGCACTTTGGGAGGTCGAGGTGGGCAGATTGCCTGAGTCCAGTTCAAGACCAGCCTGGGCACCATGGTGAACCCCTATCTCTGCAAAAAATACAAAAATTAGCCAAGTGCAGTGGTGCAAGCCTGTAGTCCCAGCTACAAGAGTGACTGAGGTGGGGTGGTTGAGGAGGTTGGACTGCTTGAGCCTAAGAGGTAGAGGCTGCAGTGAGCAATGATTGCACCACTGCACTCCAATCCAGCCTGTCTTTCCCAAGCAAATGGAAAGACATCTGTGTTCATGAATCACAAGACTTAATACTGTTAAAATGGCAATAGTTCCTGAATCTGTAGGTTTAACACACTCCTCAACAAAATTCCAGTTTGCTTCTTTGCAGAAACTGACAAGCAGATCCTAAAATTCCTACAGAAATGTAGGGACCCATAACAGCCAAAACAAACTTGAAAAAGAAAACAAAGTTGAAGGACTCACACTTCTTAATTTCAAAACTTTCTACAAAGCTACAGTAATAAAGACAATATGGTGCTGGCATTAGAACAGACACATGGGCCAGGCGCAGTGGCTCCCGCCTGTAATCCCAGCACTTTGGCAGGCCAAGGTAGGTGGATCATCTGAGGTCAGGAGTTTGAGACCAGCCTGGCCAACGTGGTGAAACCCCATCTCTACTAAAAATACAAACAATTAGCCTGGTGTGGTGGAAGGTGCCTGTAATCCCTGCTACTCGGGAGGCTGAGGCATGAGAATTGCTTGAAACCAGGAGGTGGAGGTTGCAATGAGCTGAGATGGCACCATTGCACTCCAGCCTGGGTGACACAGTGAGACTCCATCTCAAAAAAAAAAGAAAAGAAAAAGAAAAAGAAAAAAGATGCATGAATTGGGTCTGGCATGGTGGCTCACGCCTGTAATCCCAGCACTTTGGGAATCTGAGGCAAGTGGATCATGAGGTCAGGAGATCAAGACCATCCTGGCTAACACGGTGAAACCCCATCTCTACTAAAAATAAAAAAAATTAGTCGGGCATGGTGGTGTGCGCCTGTAGTCCCAGCTACTCAAGAGGCTGAGGCAGGAGAATGGCGTGGAGCTTGCAGTGAGCCGAGATCGCGCCACTGCACTCCAGCCTGGGCGACAGAGTGAGACTCCGTCTCAAAAAAAAAATAATAATAATAATCTCTTCAATAAATGGAGCTGAACAATTGAATTGTCACATGCAAAAGAATAAAGTGGGATCCCTACCTCACACCATATACAAAAATTAACTAAAAGTGAATCGAAGATCTAAGTGTAAGAGCCAAAACTTGTAAGTTATTAGAAGAAAAAATTGTAGTAAATCATCATGACTTTGGATAGGCAATAGTTTCTTGGATATAACACCAAAAGCACAAGCAGCAGCAACAACAAAAATAGATACACTGGTCATCATCAGAATTTAAAACTTGCACCTCAAAGGACACTTATTAGTCCGTTTTTACACTGCTATAAAGAACTACCTGAGACTGAGTAATTTATAAAGAAAAGAGGTTTAATTGACTCACAGTTCCACATGGCTGGGGAGGCCTCAGAAACCACAATCATGGCAAAAGGTAAAGAAGAAGCAAGCACCTTCTTTACAAGGTGGCAGGAGAAGAGGGGTGGGGGGCGGGGAGTGCCATACTTTAAAACCATCAGCTATCATGAGAACTCACTCACCATCACCAGAACAGCATGGGAGAAACGCCCATGATCCAATCACCTCCCACCAGGACCCTTCCTCGACACATGGGGATTACAATTTGAGATGAGATTTGGGTGGCGACAGAGAGCCAAACCATATCAGATACCATCCAGATAATTAAAATAAAATTCACAGAATGGGAGGAAATTTTTGCTAATTATGTTTCTGATAATGGATTTAAATGTTGAAAATATAAAGAATTCTTACATTTTGTGATGGTTAATATTAGGCGTCAACTAGATTGAGAGACACCTGGATGGCTGATGAAGCATTGTTCCCGGGTGTGTCTGTGATGGTGTTGCTGAGGGAGACTGACACTGGAGTCAATGGACTGGGAGAGGAAGACGCACCCTCAGTGTGGCTGGACACTATCCAGTTGGCTGCCAGTGATGCCAGAACACAGCAGGTGGATGAAGGGAGATAAGCAGCGTGCTTGCTGAGTCTGCTCCCTCTCTTCCTGTGCTGTGCAGAATGCTTGACTTCCTCTCCTCCTGCCCTTGGACACCAGACTCCAGGTTTTTCCACCTTTGGACTTTGGGACTTGCACCAATTGCTTCCCAGAGTCTCCTGGGCCTTTGGTCTCAGACTGCAGGCTGCACTGTCAGTGTCCCTGGTTTTGAGGCTTTCAGACTTGGGCTGAGCCATGCTATTAGCTTCTCTCCTTCCCCAGCTTGCAGATGGCCTATCGTGGGACTTTGCTTTATATTCGTGTGAGCCAGTTCTCTCTAATTGTGATGGTTAATACTGAGTGTCAACTTGATTGGATTGAAGGATGCAAAGTGTTGATCCTGGGTGTGTCTGTGAGGGTGCTGCCAAAGGAGATTA